GTCACACCTGTAATCCCAGCACTTTGGGAGGTCAAGGCAGGCAGATCACCTGAGATCAGGAGTTCAAGACCAGCCTGGCCCTGGCCAACATGGCAAAACCTCATCTCTACCAAAAATACAAAAAGTAGCTGGGCGTGGTGGCACACACCTGTAATCCCCGCTACTCAGGAGGCTGAGGCAGGAAGAATCACTTGAACTGACGGAGGTTGCAGTGAGCTGAGACTGTGCCGCTGCATGCCAGCCTGAGCAACAGAGCAAGACCCTGTCTCAAAAAATAATAATAATAAAATAAAGAATTTGGACATTTCTTAGCTTTCACAGATGTGTGACTGTTTACTTAACCCATTATTTCACTTTGAAAATACATCATTTTCATTTTTCCAGTAATTGTACTTTTTTTTTTTTTTTAAAGGCAGAATCTCATTCTGTTGCCCAGGCTGGAGTACAATGGCTTAATCACGGCTCACTGCAGCCTCAACCTCCCAGGCTCAAGTGATGCTCCCATCTCACCCTCCCAAATAGCTGGGACTTCAGGTGCACTCCACCACACCTGGCTAATTTTTGTATTTTTGTAGAGAGGGGGTTTCACCACATTTCCCAGGCTGGTCTTGAGCTCCTAAGCTCAAGCAATCCACCCGCCTTGTCCTCCCAAAGTGCTGGCATTACAGGCGTGAGTCACTGCACTTCGCCACCTAGAAATTTTCTAAGAAGAAAAACAGCCTTGATTAAGCCTTGATTTTGATCACAAAAATGACAGCAACTCCAAACAACTACAATCACAATTTTCAGTACCTTTTGCCTGATTGCTTTAGAGAACTAAAATAAAATTTTATTCTTATTTTTTAAATGTTTTGATTCCAGACCAAGGGTAAAAAACAAATACAACAAATATATAGACCCCACACTCCCTCTGGTGGACCTTCACTCTCATTAACCAAATGTTTTCCAAAAGGCCATAAGTAGGCCTAGCACTGTGGCTCACACCTATAATCCCAGCACTTTGGGAGGCCAAGGTAGGATCACTTGAGCTCAGGAGTTGGACACCAGCCTGTGCAACATAGTGAGACCTTGTCTCTACTAAAAATGGTTTTAAAGATTAGCCGGGCGTGGTGGTGTGTGCCTGTAACCCCAGCTACTTGGGAGGCTGAGGTGGGAAGATCACTTGAGACCGGGAGGTTGGGCAGGAGGATCTTCTGAGCCTGGGAAGTCTGCAGTGAGCCATGATCACACCACAGCACTCCAGCCTGGGCAATAAGCAAGACCCCAACTCAAAAAAAAAAAAAAAAAGACTAGAAGTAAATACTAAATTAAGCATAAAATGTAGGTTCTCAAACTGCTATAAGAAGTACAAATTATTTTGAGTAGTGGAATTTTAGTGTTCTAAATATTGTTAAAATATCCTTATTAATCTGTTGGTAACCTGGTAGTACATATGGCCGTACTGTAAATTATTTTAACCAGTCTCATTTGGCAGTACTGTCTTTTACATAGTAAATAAACATCTCATTTGCAAATTAAATCACACTTAAGTGGTTATTGTTTTAAATCAATAGTTCTGTGACATACATACCACCATCCACCCAGTCGCTACTGAATGTAGATTTAATTTTCTTTATACTTTTGGGGATATGATGTCAGAATTTTAAAATGCACTAAAATGTACTGCAGAAAAATTTAGAAATATAAAATACTGAAAAAACAAAATCTATTAATCAGCTAGGTTGTAAAGTTCAAATAGTTTCATTATTATAAAATGCAGATATTTAATTGTTAAACATGAATTACAAAATTTAGTCTGTCAAATATGTATAATATAGATTATTCTTTAGGAATTATGAAAACTTATTTTAATTAACGGTCTTTAGAGGAATTCTTCATGCCAGGTACAGCAAGCATATTACCGTTAAATAAAGCAATACTAGGCAAGGCGCAGTGGCTCACGCCTGTAATACCAGCACTTTGGGAGGCCAAGGCGAGTCGATCACCTAAGGTCAGGAGTTCAAGACCAGCCTGGCCAACATGGCAAAACCCCGTCTCTACTAAAAGTACAAAAATTAGCTGGATGTGGTGGCAGGGGCCTGTAGTGCCAGCTACTCAGGAGGCTGAGGCAGGAAAATCACTTGAACCCAGGAGGCAGAGGTTGCAATGAGCCGAGACTGCACCCTTGCACTCCAACCCGGGCAACAAGAGCGAAACTCCATCTCAAAAAAAAAAGGGAATACTAATGTGTATAATAGTGCCATTTGATCTATCCTCAAAGTTGGCTGTTTTAATATTAAGTCCCTGTTTTCTGTAGCTTTATTTACTTAAAAATACTTACTATCACCTCCAAACACAAAAGGAGTTAAACCTGAGGGTAAATGGCTTTAAAAACATTCCCAATGTTTATTGTGTGGATTTGAGAATTCAACTTATGCTTAATTTTGAAACTGAAATTGTGGTTGATAATGTTATGATATCATCTATTACAAGTTAAAGTAGACAACAGTCAGTAATTAAAATATCTAAAAACTGAATTTTAAAATGGGCTTTTAATTAAACTTAAAGTTAATAAAACTTTAACTTTTACAGTTAAAATACTAAAATGTACTTATATGTAAATAAATATGAAATACAACTTTATTGTATGTGGTATATATACATACATCATCATAGAATAAGGATAAACAACTAATTATGAATAGTATTTAAATATTCAAGTACACTAAAGAGCAATTATATAAATGATAAAAAATAATGGAAGCTACAGTCTTATCCAGCTCCTTACAACTATTTACACAGAATAAGCCTTCCGTACGTGAGGATGAATCATTGTTCAACCTATCTATCCACACTAAGCATCAAAAAGCCAACTTAGCTTTTAACAGTAGTAACTTCTTCTACAGGTATACAAACAGGATGTTCTTTCTTCTCCGGACTAATTCATCCTAAGCAGAGAAGCTTTTAGGAAACTAAACTGAACCCAAAATATGCATTATTTTCCAAGAATAAACAGAAAACTAAAGATTTAATTAGTTGCCTAATGCAATATTTTAAGTTTTTCATGTTGAACTGATTAAAATTATGTTTTAAAAAAGAAATTCACCCAAAATTCCCATAACTAAAAGAATTAAAGATTCAGAAACATACAAAGACCTCATAGCTTGTTTTGGAGAAATAAAACAATAAAGACCATTTTTTTTTAAATCTAAAATAGTCACAATTAATGATTAAAGAGTTGATGGTTCAGTGGCAACTCTTATCAGTCATCAGCTAACTTTAATTACCTAGGCAAATAAGTAAAATGACCATTCAATGAATAATAAGCTAGCATAATTAAATCAAGATTAGCAACTTTGTTCTTAACTTAATCTGAAGTATAAATCATACCTAATACAGATATCAACCAAGACACATTAGGAGAAAAAAACTTGGTAACTAAATCAAGTGTTTCTCACAAATGATGAGTATTAATAACCCTCGTTTTAAAAATGTTATTTGTATGGAATCTCTAAATTGGTCAGGGCCATAATTGCAGATTGTCAGGCAGAGGTCAGTTGGGGGAGAGATAAATAGAAAATGGTGAAGTGAAAGTATGACAATAAAAATTTCCCACCAGAATAAGAATTTTTTCAAGTCGATTCTTGGCTCTTGATTCAAACACCAAGAGAAGCAGCTCCCTTTAGAGAATTACTTTATAATTCTTTAAAGTAAAAACCCTTATAGGGGAGGTGGATAAAATCCCAGACTATTAAAAATACTTAACCAAAACATGCTTTAACTTTTCCCTTGTCCACAATCTAACAAAATGGGAAGACAATGAAAATAAACACTCCTGTCTACCCTCAGAGAGGCAAAGAAAGCTCCCATTCAGTAGTAAGCCTTATTCCACTGGAAAACATACTCCTGAAAAGTAAATCCAAAACCACGAGCTCAAACTGCTTCATGCAGAATTTACTGAACGGCGGCCAAACGCTGAACACACTGTCCTGAACCACACTGAAGGGTATCTAGAGTTCTGCATCTCCGCTTACAACTTGAACCTTACTACGCTTTCGCCACCACTGCAGAACCCGATTTTAGCGACTACGATGTTCCTGCCGGTTCGCTGATCGAAGAAAGTCACTCTGACGCTCGAAGTGTCTTTTTGGTAATACCGGTTTTTGACTCTTATACTGTGACCTGTACACCTTTTTGGACGCTCAATAAGGCGGAAGGCGTTTTAACGTCCCAGAACTGAAGAGCATAAGGAGCTCTGGCACAGCGTTCAGCCGCTTCGGTATGGCCTGGGAGTGACGCGGATCACCTGTTAGACGGCGCTGCGCGGACTCCTCCACAAGCGGCCGACGGCGGCGATGCGGTTCCCCAACGCTTGTCCCGAGGCGGCAGGTGAAGGCGGGGACCGCCCGTCCACACCCGGAGTGCGGCCACCCCGCCACCCTCCCCTCCACGGCCCCGCCAGGTGGGCGAATCCGCCCCGCGCCCGCGGCGTCCCGGCGCTCGGCTCGCCCTGGGGTACGGTCGTCCCGGCGCCCGGACCCGAAAGCGAAGTTTGGCTCCCGCCTGCAGCGGTGCCGACTTAGGGTCCCGCCGCCTGTCCGGGACGAACCGGCGGCCAGAGACCGGAGGCGGCGCGGGACCTGTCATCCCGGGCGGGAAACAAAAGCCCAGTGAGGACGGGCGGGCGCGACCCGCCTCGCTCTGCCGGGAGAGGCCGGCGGGGGCGGGGGCGGGGAGCGGCGCCCGTGGCCACTCGGCTCTGCGCCTCCCGCGGGGAGCACCGGCCCCGCAGCCCCCGGGGCGCGGCGAGGGGCGCCGCAGTGGGGCTGAGGCCTCCCGCGCGCTCCCCTCGAGGCTTCCGGACCCCGCTCCCCCGCAACACGCGGCTCCTGGACTGCGAAGCCGCGTGGGGGTGGGAGCTGAGGCAGCGAGTGCGGCCGCGGCGGGACCTGAAAGGAGGGCGTTCGGCTCCCGGGGCGCCGCGGCCGGCCGCCCCATCTCCGCGGCCATGGCGCCTGTACCTGTCGCCGCGGGGGCTCGCCGACTCCGTCACTCTCCGCCTCGCCCGCGCTCCGCTACGCCCAGCAGGCCGCCCGCGCGCCGGACACCGCCGCCCGAGACTGGCAGCGCCCGCGAGCCGGCTCGAATCCCCGGGGCAGCGCCCGGCGCCGTCCCGCCCCCGCCGGCCGCAGGACCCGCCTTCCATAGGGCCCCGGGGCTGTCAGTCCGCCCCCAAAAGCCGCGCGGGCTGTCGATCCGCCTGTCTGGATTGGTGGCCGCTCGCCGTCCATGCAAATGAGGCCCCGCCCCCATTCATTGGCTGCTCCGCCTCTCCACGCCAGCCCACGTGTCTGGCCCTTGCCCTTTGTGGGGGCCATAGAGAAGGGATGGTGGAAACTGACACCCCCTCACAACATCTCTTACCTCCCGAGAAATTAATGCCTAAGCAAGCTAGTTGACTTCCCATCTGTATCGTCTCTCTGAAGGCACTGCCCCTCCTATCTGTCCACCGGGCCTACCCAGAGGCTGGAGAGGGGCAGGCCAGGCTGTTTGTTAGGTCAGCTGGCCGGGTTCGCCCTAGGAAGCAACCCCATGAAGTCTAAGACGCCCAGTCGGGACTGGGGAAATCCCACCTCGAGAACCAATTTAGCAGATATCACCTCCCTCTGGACACCCAGTAACTGTAAAGACCATACTTTCTCTTGGCTTGTTACCTTTCAAGCAGGAGCCCAGGAGATTAAAACACGAAGAGGCCTTATGGCTGAGTTCGGCCGGGTGGGGTGGCTCACACCTGTAATCCCAGCACTTTGGAAGGCAGAGGTGGGCGCATCACGAGGTCAAGAAATGGAGACCATCCTGGCCATATGGTGAAACCCCGTCTCTACTAAAAATATAAAAATTAGCTGGGCGTGGTGGCGTGCACTGTCCCAGCTACCGGAGGCTGAGGCAGGAGAATCGCTTGAACCTGGGAGGCAGAGGTTGCGGTGAGTTGAGGTCATGCCACTGCACTCCAGCCTGGTGACAGAGCAAGACTCCGTCTCAAAACAAAAACAAAAACAAAATGGCTGACTTCTTCCGCCAACTCCAAAGGGTAAACTACTGAGCAAAAGCAGGTTCAGGATGAACCTACCTTCCTCCAACCAGATGGCTACCTCTGAGTCGCTCCCATAGAGATGCAGGAGCTGCACCTGGGCCTTAGGGAATCTCTTAACGCCCTCATTTTTGAGGAAACAGAAACCTGATGTCCCATAGCTAGTTACCCGTGGGACCTAATAGTTACCTATGGAAACCTAATGTCCCATACCCAGATTAGAACATGTCTCCTGGCTCCAAACCTGCTCTCTTTGCACTATATTGCATTCAAATATTTATGAAGAACCTCGTCTACAAATCAACATGCTGCCTTGACGAGATGATGTCTGGGGGCTGGGTGCAGCGGCTCACACACCTGTAATCTCAGCACTTTGGGAGGCTGAGGTGGGCAGATCACCTGAGGTTGGGAGTTCGAGACCAGCCTGACCAACATGGAGAAACCCTGTCTCTACTAAAAATAATAATAATAAAAAAAATAGCTGGATGTGGTAGTGCATGCCTGTAATCCCAGCCACTCAGGAGGCTGAGGCAAGAGAATCACTTGAACAGAGGTTGCAGTCAGCCCAGATCGCGCCGTTGCACTCCAGCCTGGGCAACAAGAGCGACACTCCATCTCAAAAAAAAAAGATAAAAAAAAAAAGAGAGCGAGATGGTGTCTGCAGAAAAGACAAATAAAGGCAAGACTGAAACCACCTCAAGGGCAGGGGTTCTGTCCCAGTCATTTGTCTATTCTCAATGCCTAGAAGCTTCCCCGTTTACCAGTTGCCAGGGAGAGTCACTGAAACAACTTATTCATTCATTAACACAGAAAGACAAAGTTGATCAAAATTCCTCTGTATACTAATACCAATTGATTAAGCATCTACTATGCTTAATAACAGCACATATTAGGCTGGGCACGGTGGTTCACACCTGTAATCCTAGCACTTTGGGAGACTGAGGTGGGCAGATCACCCGAGGTTGGGAGTTCGAGACCAGCCTGACCAACATGGAGAAACCCCATCTCTACTAAAAATACAAAATTAGCCCAGTGTGGTGGCACATGCCTGTAATCCCAGTTGCTTGGGAGGCTGAAGCAAGAGAATCGCTTGAACCTGGGAGGCGGAGGTTGCAGTGAGCTGAGATGGTACCATTGCACTCCAGCCTGGGCAACAAGAGCAAAACTCTGTCTCAAAAAAATAAAATAAAAATAAAAATAAAATAAAATAACAGCACATATTAAGCTCTATGCTATCAGGGTATATATGTCCCATCCCTCAAGGGCTTCAGTCTAGGAGACAGTGACATACACGTAACATGTCAGTTCTCCTCTTCATGTTACAGGGGTTGTGACAGATGTCTGCATAGAGCACAGTAGAAGGCGCCAAGGAAAGAGGAATCAGCTCTTCCTACGAGAGGCAGGGAAGGCTTCATTGAAGAGGTCACCTGACAGTAGAGCTGAATCTTAGAAGATGAAGTAGGTGTTTGCCAGACAGAGGAGTGTAGACAAGGAGGAAAGGGATTCCCAGGCAGGAGGGGACAGCATGAGCAAAAAGCATGCAGACCTGGAAAAGCCTAATAATTGAGGGAACAGTGAGGAGCAGTGTGGGCAAATCTGCAGAGGGCTGTGTGGACGTGTCACATGTCTGGGACCAGGCTCTTCCAGGAGGAAGACAGAAAGGCAGGGGAGGCTGCCAGACTGTGTTGTAATACACCGCAGCAACAACAACAGGCCCTGTAGATACAGCTACAGGGTTCTTTTTTTTCTAGGCCAGAGTCTGTGGAGAACAGTCAGTTCCACAGTTCCGATGGCAGCCTTGCTAGCCCCACCCACTCTCCCAGAAAACCACTCCGGTCACTGCACTTGCCTTCCTTGGCATTTGGAAACATGTGTGCTTGCATTTTCCCAAAACATTGCTGCCCTTCAGAATTCAAAGATGACATGGGCTATGGCTGCAGATACCTGGGTGTGGGGTGAGCAGCCCTTTCCTAAGGCACAGTATGGTTCTTTGCAGGGTCTGTCACTAAAGCCAGCTCCATGGGTATGTGACCTGTGCAGAATACAGGGCCCTGGACTTAGAAGAGCCCTGTGCTGGGTTTAATGCTCTACTGCCGCTGTCTTGAAATTCTTAGTACTTTCTTCACAAAGGGCCCTGCACTCTCATTTTTCACTGGGCCCTGCAAATTATGTGGCCAGTCCTGCCTGTCACTGGTAGTGACCCTGGGCATGCTTGTGGAACTGCTCAAACCACATCTCATTTTAAAAGCACTTGGAATTCACTAGACTCATTCACATGCATTTTATCGTTTGATTCTCTTTTTCTGTTTCTTTTAGAGACGAGGGCTCACTCTATTGCTCAGGCTGGTCTCAAACCCCTGGGCTCAAGAGATCCTCCCACCTTGGCCTCCTAAACTGTCAAGATTATAGGTGTGAACCACCTTGCCCGGACTTATCATTTGATTTACACAATAGGGTAGGCCGGTGTTACTCTTTATTCTCATTTATTACTTGAGAAAATTGACGTTTGGCAACTTTCTCCAGGTGGCACAGCTAGGAAGTAGCAGAGCTTGTACTTGAACTCAGCCCAGGCAAGCCCTGCTCCACCTACTACCGAGCTACCTTCATCTTGGTTTCAGAATCCTTTTAAAGGCAGCTTTGTACATTAAGGTTTTTAAGAGTCAAAATATGCCAGGCGTAGTAGTTCATATCCCAGCACTTTGGGAGGCCGAGGTGGGCGGATCACCTGAGGTCAGGAGTTCAAGACCAGCTTGGCCGACATGGTGAAACCCTGTCTCTACTAAAAATACAAAAATTAGCCAGGCATAGTGGCGTGCGCCTGTAGTCCCAGCTACTCGGGAGGCTGAGGCATAAGAATTGCCTGAACCCAGGTGGTAGAAGTTGCAGTGAGCCGAGATTGCGCCATTACACTCCAGCCTGGGTGACAGAGTGAGACTCTGTCTCAAAAAAAAAAAGAGAGACTACATGGTAGAGTAGATATCTGTCATTTCACAGCTGCCTATCGCCTTTTGAATAGTTCAGTTTTGAACAATTTTCAGCCATTATGTGTTCAAATACGGTTTCTGTCCTTTTTCTTCTTTCTTTCTGGGGCTCCAATTGAAACACACTCAACCTTCTTACTTCATCCCTTTCTTCTGTATTTTCTGTCTTTTATCCTTCTATGCTTTGTCCTAATAAGTTTCTTCTATTTTCAGCTCACTTAGTCTCTTTTCAGGAAAAAAAAAAAAAAAAAAACTCTTCTTAAACCCCAACTATCGAGCTCCATTTGTTTATTCTATTATTTAAGTCTATAATTTCTATTTGGTTCTTTCTCTCTTTCTCCTTCCTTCCTTTCTTCCTTCCTTCTTCCTTCTTTTCTTTTCTTTTTTTCTTTTCTTTCTTTGACAGAGTCTTGCTCTGTCGCCCAGGCTGGAGTGCAGTGGCACAATCTCGGCTCACTGCAACCTCCACTTCCCAGGTTCAAGCAATTCTCCTGCCTCAGCCTCCCAAGTAGCTGGGATTACAAGGCATATGCCACCATGCCCAGCTAGTTTTTATATTTTTAGTAGAAACAGGGTTTCGGCATGTTGGCCAGGCTGGTCTTGAACTCCTGACATCAGGTGATCCACCCGCCTCGACCTCCCAAAGTGCTGGGATTACAGGTGTGAGCCACTGTGCCCGGCCTCTATGTGGTTCTTTTTCAAATCTGCTATGCCACTTCATGTATCTCCCAGTGCCCTGCTATAATTTTCAGGCTTATCTTTTCCATCCTTAAACATAGTATTGTTGTTTTATGGTCTATAACTGATCATTCCAATCTGGAGTTCCTGTGAGTCTGCTTCCATTGTCAGATATTGTTTTTGCTTTTTACCAAAAAAAAAAAAAAAAAAAAAAGAGAGAGAGAGAAAAACAGAGTCTCTCTATGTTGCCCAGGCTGGTCTCAAACTCCAGGGCTCAAAGCATCTTACTCTCTTGGCCTCCCAGAGTGTTGGGATTACAGGCATGAGCCACTGCAACCAACCAGTTTCTATTTGTGTTTTCATTTTCAAGACAGGGTCTCACTCTGTCACGTAGGCTGGAGTGCAAGGGTGTGATCATGGCTCACTGCAGTCTTGACCACCTAGGCTC